AGATACAGGAAGAAATAGAGGAAACTATGGATTCTTCAGAATTACTACGTTTTTTATTTCTTCTGCAGCAACCTTGATATTTCAGAAAAGCCTCTTTGTAAGCCTGCTGCTGTTCCTTTCCATCATAATCGACTTTTTAGCCTTCAACCATAGTAAACTCGCACTTGCAAAAGAAGAATTCCGACTTCCAGCATATATCGCTGTTAGAATCTAAGCCCATCAATTATTCGCCGGCCACGTCCTTAACATTCGATGGAGATAAACACGCTGCATTGTGAGAGAGAATTGCGGAAACCAAAGTGCTTTATGTCAAGGATATCCCTTCATTGTGGGTCAACAGCGTAAATGTTTTTCATTGATGTATCAAGAAACGCTGAAAAACGTTTAAGGGAAATTGAATGCTTGCGCCCGTATTATAGAGCTTGTAGAACTTGTTTTAATTGTGGGAGAAAAACTACTAGAAGGCGGACTAACGAAGTTATGGATATTGATTGAAATCCTTTGATTAGATAAGATTCACGTTTAGCCTAGCCTATTCAAGATAGGTGACATTTAGCTATCCATTCAAATCTGGTAGTTAAATTGGTAGCACAGATAAAAAGTCCTTGCGCGCAAAACCATAGACGACCATTCAAAAGAAATGATATTTTATGAGACTTCCTGGCTTATTCGAGTTCCTAAAAGTAAGTTAGGATTATGTAAGGCCAAACCTGGATCATGCATCCTTCGAAGAAAAATTGAGTGGTGTCCTCTGGGGTGCAGAATGATGGCTTCTTTGGCGGCTTTGGTAGATCTTCTTCCTTGGCTGGTGCTACTGACTTCACATCCTTCTTTCCGGCTAGTCGGGCGCGGATTCTGTCCTCACGATCCTTGATGGCTTGTTTAAGAGCCTGCAATTCTTGCATTGAATTAGTTCACTTACTTATTTTGTCCGTCTCCAGATGTTAAGGATTTGTGCTTCCACTGAGTTTGAGAGTGGAACTTGCAATGCAAAAAGATATGAAAAGCAACTACAGAGATGATTTTCCGTAAGTTTGTAGGCAATAACACAGACCTAATTTGCTAACTTGTGTTGATAAGTGGTTGAGCATTAGAAGTTTCACTGCTCACCAAATCTCTTATTCCTTGGAAATACTCCTACTAATGAGGTAGTAGTAGGGCTTTTAGGTAGTAGTAGACATTTGAAATAAAAGTAGCTAAGTGCGTAAAATTTTTTTCTCAAAGCAAGTTTTTCTCCTGTTGACGCTTCATTTGGCACGTAAAACTGACATAAATATGAAAATTAGTAAATAAAAGCCCAAGACTTCCCGGTTTTTGTGCCTTTTCTCCTGCTCAAATAACTACAAACTTTGTATAAAAAGTTTATAACTCCTTGCAAAAGATGCAGTCAGTGAACTCTAACGAAGCGGCAAAAATGAAGAAGATCTCGTAATCTAGCTACCTTATCCACTTAGGAATTTATTGTATACTTTTCACTGGATCTAATTGATTATGTTACTCGAATGTACCGAAGCAATTAAATGTTTGAAAAAGGCCAGTCAAGAACTTATAAAGAATGAACTTATCTCTACTAACTTCATTCCACAGATAAAAAAACTCACATTCTTGTAATCGCTCACATCCTTCTGATAGGTTGTCAGTTCTTGTTGCTCACTAGATGTAAGTTCTCGCACACGGAATCCATTTGCATAAAGAACATTTCCCTTAAACAATAATGCTAAGGTTTTATTAATTCGAGCACCTGGAATTTATTAACTTAATCGCCCTTCAAAGCCCACTTACAGTAACAACACAGCCAGTGGACAGGCCCAAACCTCCAGTAACTGTGATTGTGCTCACAGCCAGTCGCTTATCTCGAC